CTCTCTCTCTCTCTCTTTCTCTCTCTCTCGCGCCTGCCTCTGACCCTGAACCCGACGCCGAACCCAGCCGCAGACACTGAACAAATTCCAAAATATGGGAGACAATTCCAATCAGTCAGCTCTGTCAAGACACCGACATGCAAACAACTCGATCAATCAGCTGAGTTGCAGACAAGACACTGCAAACACTGGCTGATCCATTATTAATCAATAACAGTGCTTGACCGCAGAAAGTGTTAACGATCTTTGTCTTAGTGATTGCAGATGAGCACACATTCAAGACACCGATTCAAAGAGAGACGCGACGTAATAACTCTCCAAAGCGCGTCGTCAACGAGACACTTCAATGGGCAAACGACAAAATCGGTGGGTACGCAGACTTCTGAACGTTCTGATCAACATCATCGAATTTTCTACACATTTTTCAATACGCAGAGCCCAATGGAAAGGTCATCATTTGCCGGGGTCCCCTCACCTGTGTACGCGTCAAGCGCCGCCGAATGGCACGTGTCTTCTTCGGGCGAAGATCGTATGGCAAATACTTCTTCCCCTTGAACGCCTCTCTCAGATTTGCCTTCTGGGTCTGTGCCATCACTGTCAAAACTTTCGCGATTGATTTCCTCACCACCTTGCTGCACATATCAACGCGGAGATCCGTCAAAGAAACCCGCGATTAATCGCGTGCACAATGCTCTTTTTAAAGGGAAAAACATAAAAAATTGCAAACGTAGGAAACACAACCCCTAGCGTACATTCGCAGTCAAATAAGCACCATCGATGCTCCACAAGGATAAACCACCACTGCCACCTTTCGATCGAAAGTACATCCTCCGCCTAATCATCTTCGACTAATTTCAGCCCCGAAAGACCAGACGCCAATAGATTCTCCACAGGTTCACCCTCGTCTGTACCGCATGTTCATTATGGCCACGCTTGACAAGATAGTCTCCCATGCTCACATTCGCAGACTACGCCTGCGCCTCAGAAAAGGTTTCAATAGGATCAAGAAAACCCTAATTGTCACGAAATAGGAGAGAAAACGGTTCACAATAGGACCATGAAAACCCTACTTTCCTCGGTATCAAATAGATCACCAGAAGCTCAACGTAACCGCCATAACCCTAGTCATCTCCTGTATCAAATAGGTCACCACTAGCTCAAGATAACCGCCATCTCCCCTCCAGGTATATCCAATTCGCTGGCTCCCCCACCTCATTCAAGAATCCTTGTTTGCAAGGAATGCCATTGCCCTATTACCTTTTTCGCCGGCATTACACCACAACTCCACGCTTAAATTCTCAGCTGCTCGTTTAACTCGCTTTCCCCTCCTGCATTATGCTCACCTCCTATTCAACCCTGTTCCCATGACTTGCACAAGTAACAATCCCTGCGCCTTATTTGGGGCTTCCTCCGTGGACATCCGAAGCGAACGATTCAACTTGAGGACAAAGTTCCTTCGCGCACACAACACCACTGGGGACGATGCGATCCATTTGTCCTCACAGCCAGCCGCCGTGAAAGTAGTTAACTTTTCTGACTCCACCGATACCGAGCAGCAAACCTGTGGAGACCCGGGGGGGGGGGGGGGGGGGGGGTAACCTGCCGAGGAAGCTGTTTCCCCCCGACAGCCGATGATAGAGTGGCCGCAGAATATCCGACAGATTGAGCCAGCTTGATGAGAGGCTAAGAGAGAAAAAGCACGAGAAGCCTAGGGGAGTGAGAAGGTGGATAAGGCGAGAATCAAACTCACATCTTCGACAGCTTGTTAGGAGCGCCTCCTGTCACTTTTGCCACGCGCAGAGCCGCCAGCTCCGTCTTCAGATCCTTCAACTGCGCGCGCCACACATCGCAAGCACAGGCACAATGCGACCGACCGGAACAACGGAACCAATCAGCATTTTTGAACCACTGCACCACTCTCTAACAGAAAGAAAAACGAACGGAAACGGGGAAGGAGACTAGACGACGGAAGTTGCTCACAGATGTCACGAAATGGGATTACCATCAAGCAGCACCTTCCCCCGTCGAGCGGTTGGAGGATCTGGACATTAGCAGCACAGGAAGAAAGGAAGAGTATAGGAAAAAAGAGAGCAGAAAAGATAGAACCCAATCCCACCAAGAACAACCCTAAAAGGGATGGATAACGGGATTTCATCGGCTGCGAACTTTCACCAAATTCTCCCAACAACGCACTCTCATGCGAGGATAACGCCCAGAACAGCCAGCATACACGAGCGGATTACGTATATTCTTCATGCGAGGGTAATGCTCAGCCCAGCCACCATACACGCAACAAAGAACCCCGCGATAACACGAGAATTCACAGGAAGCGGAGAGAGAGACGAGAAGCTCTGCGAGTCTGGGGCTGCTAGGTATCACACCCGCTGAAAGAAACAACTTCCGTCGTCGAATCTCCTTCCCCGTTTCCGTGCATATACAGCTCACCAGCGGCAGTGAGGGGTTTACACAGATTCAAATGAAGGCAGCAAAGATATGATAGCAGAGAAGAGGATAGAGAGACCGATGAGATGAAAAGAATCGAGGGATGACAACTTAGTCGCAGAAATAGCATACCGCAGGGAGAAACCGAAAACCATCTATAAGGGAAGAGAGGTTCGGGAAAGAAGATGCTAACCTGCACGAGCAAGTCCTGCTTGCTCTTCTGGCGGAGCTCGTGTACCTTCACCTTCGCTGCACATAGAAATGTTTTACAGAGAGTTAGCAATCACGGAAAAACAGAGTCCTCGTCGAAAAAGCCATCCAAACTGCTGAAGCACGCACGGAGGAGACATGGAGGAAGAAAGAGTGCCAATGATCAACAAGACACACGTGTTTACAAGAGCAAGCACAGACGTGAGGACAAGCACATAAAATCGATACAGGACAAACGCGCGCAAAAAGGCTACCAAGAAATCGGAGATCATCGTGAAACACCTACTTCATCACCCTCACTCACCCATGACGTCGCCTTCGTTCCACGAATCTGATGCTTGTGCAACGGAGAGGAGCCCCAACCACGCCCAAAGGTTCTCTACCGCTAACTCCCTCTTCCCCTGCTGCCGGCCAAAGAGGGAGAAATCCTGGCGTCGTCGTGCCTTTTTCTCTGACTTGCCCGTCTGGAGGCGATGTCACCTAGGAGCTCTAGACATCAGCCTCTGGGAGTGCTCACACTCCGACCCTTCCTTCGCCTCTGGCCGCAGATCTTCATAATCTACGGTCAGATCGAAAGCCCCCCGGGGTCTGCCTGTCGCACAAGCGCATCACCTGTGTTGTGTATTCGATAGGGACTGCATCGCTCCTCCAGTTTGCCCCTTCCACTGCCCCGAATCCAGGGAAAATGGACACCTCAGGGGCGCGGCGACGTAACCCGGTCGCCAGATCAAGGCCCTGAAGACATGCGGGTCTAAATGATACAGGCGTAAGACGAAAGCCAAGCAGAGAAGACCCATGGGTTGAAGGCTATACGGGGCTGAGACCACCAGCCCAGGGGGCCACCTTATATATATATATATATATCGTCATATTACAGTTTGTCACAGCCCCTCGTTTGTTGTCCTCTTCTCTCTCTCTGCCTACGGTTTTACCGGGCAGTTCTGTTTGTGACGATATATATATATAT